CGCTAGCACCGAGCTAATACATATAAGGCAATGTAGCGTCGGCGCTAGGGTGGATATAGCTCGCTAGCAGCCTCGCACCGAGGACCTATCCACGTCATCATTTACCCAGAATGCTTTGTGTGCAAATAAAATGGCTCCGTCCGTGTTAAAATATATTTTTAAAAATGATAAAAACTAAACATCCTACAGTATTTTTACAGTCTTTATTTTACAGTTAAAATATCTAATGTTACAACTAATCATGGATCCATTTCAAACTGGTGCAATGTTCAAACTGTAAAAAGTAAAAACCTCATTCTTTAAGGTTTCAGCAGATTTCAGGGTTGTTTCTTGTGAATAAAGGAACGTTTCGTTCAGACGGCTCAGTCTCCATCAGGAACACTGAGCTCTGTTTGGAGCAGATCGTCACGATTTAAACYAAATAAATATAAAAGTGAGAGGAATCCCTCCACAGACATCAGTGCTGTTTGTGTTACTGAGAGTTTAAATCCAGGAGCACACACTGTTGTACTTTCAATGACTTATTTTCAGCAGTATATCAGTCATGTGTTTTTATTATTTATAACTGATAAAGTGTTTTTATCAAGCTGTCAGGGTGAATATTAGTCTGTAAGAATAAATCTGACTCTGATTTAAAGTAATCCTGAKAAATCAGACGCATTTACATGATGCACTCATGTTTTATTAATGAGCACCGTCCCTCTTYTAAATAAAAACATTTAAATTCTAATGAAAAGCCATGTGTTTGTGTGTCTCCACCACCCCAACATTTGTTTAATCAGCAGTAAATTTCTGGAAACTGGGCCCGGTCCAGTTGAGCAGAATCTAACTTTACCTTCCTGRGATTGTGCTGAGCTAACGTCTGTCCATCTGGATTTGTAAATTTACAGCGCTCCACTCCTCCACGGCAACAAGCGCTGCCAGCACAGAGAATTGAGGTATCCATTCAGTCGACAGTTTTACTGCAGCTAACTCTGCTCAGCATTAAATCCTGCCTCCATTCAGGACTAACCTTATTTTACAGTGAAAAGCCGGGAAGAAAAAGGGGAAAAGGCACGYTCAAATTTAGTGCTTAATTTGGTTAATATCATTGGTTTGTGCTGTAAATTTACTGCAGCCTTCCATTTGAATTAGACTGCAGGGAACAGTTAGAGCCAGGCAGCGTGCACGTGAGTAAACTGTGTACACTGATGCAAATGCACGAGGCTTGATCAATACTGCTGTGTTTGCTTTTCTGCACGACTCCCTGTTTGCACAGCGTGTCTGTGTGTGTGTCTGTGTGTGTGTCTGTGTGTGTGTCTGTGTGTGTGAATGCTAACGACTCAGTACAATGTAAAAGAAAATGTCGACATGTATTCAGCACACGCCACACGGAGCTCTTATGAAAAACAAACGCAGAAATCACAGCTCGTTTGGAACAGTGAAYAAATACAAAAGCTCTGAAGTGTTGAGTCAATAAAGTTTTTTTCAGYTGACATTTCATCCGTGTGCAGCACATCAGCAGCCTGACAGCAAACTACAAGTTCAGGAAGTGATGATTAAACA